TGAGGTCTTAAGGAGGGGGTGGATGACTTCATGATCTTCTTTCTTTCTTTGAACCTTAGTTTGAGCCCCTGAACACGCATGAAAACTTGACAAATTTTTCCCAAAATTCAGAACAGCGCCCCCTACAAAAGTCAGTTTACATTGCGCCTATGGGAGGGGTCAAAACTTTCCTGATCGGTATATATTTATACCACACCATGGTCACAGATCTGTGATGTAAACGCGTTGGGTAACACACAAAGAATCCGTGCGAAACATGAGCAAATTTGTCTATGGAGCAAACAAGGCAATATGCCTAACTGCCTAAAATTCCTTGACTATTTGTTGTGATTATTTGAGTTATTCGATGTTTGGCAGGGGAGGAGGTGTGTGGAGGTATAACATAAATAGTTTAAAGCTTGCTAAAATGTTTGAAAGTATCTTCATTATGATGATTATATTTATGTATTTGTTATTAAAGATAGGGATGCCAGAAAAAAGGCGTCTGCTTTTTGCTGAGTTTTGGGCGGTCTCCTCTCAGCAAGAAGGTCCTGGGTTCGAATCCCGGTCAGACCAGGGCCTTTCTGAGTGGAGCTTGCATGTTCTTCCTGTGTCTGCGTAAGTTTCCTCCGGGTACTCCGGTTTCCCCTACCACTAAAAACATGCACAATAGATCTGGCATGCGCCTCCTGCACTGGCGACCCCGCTCCCATCTCTGTGTGGAGCGAGAGGACAAAAGCCCAAAAAATAACAATTGTAAACCGCTTTGAGACTCAGATCTGCAGTGAAAAGGCGGTATATGATAAAGATTACTTACTACAACTACTTACTGAGTGGGAGGACACACCAGAGGAGCTGTTTGAGGCATATGATGATGTTCAGCGTTATATTACCAATCATTTCTCCCTCGAAGATTGCCATAACAATATACTCTCTATTAGGAAAGATCACCAACGTGATTACCCTAGTTTATCACTTGTGGCAAAAGCCGTTTTATGCATCACAAGCGCTTCCAGTGAGCGAACTTTTAGCTCTGCGGGTCGTGTGCTGGAGGCTAGAAGCCTGACCTGACATTAACAGTTATTGTTTAGAACCCATTCCATTCCATTTTCTTGCGCTTCATCAGTTGCCGGGCCACGGGGGCAGCAGTCTAAGCAGAGACCTCCAGACTTCCCTATCCCCACACACTTCCTCCAGCTTGTCCGGGAGGACACCAAGGCGTTCCCAGGCCAGCTGAGAGACATAATCTCTCCAGCGTGTACTGGTCTTCCCCGGGGCCTCTTCCCGGTGGGACTTGCCCGGAACACCTCCCCAGGGAGGAATCCGGAACAGATGCCCCAGCCACCTCAACTGGTTCCTCTCAACGTGGAGGAGCAACGGATCTATTCCGAGCTCCTCCCTTGTGACTGAGCACCTCAACCTATCTCTAACAGGGAATTTACACAGTAGGCGTAAACAGCGCGTACGCGTTTACTGCGCGCTCTCTGCGCGTAACATTATTTTGGAGTATCTACACAGGCCGTGCGCGCAGGTCCGCGTCTTCTGATGCTGTCCCTGTGTAGTCTATGGAGCAGTGTAGAGGACAGTACGGGCCAGAGGACTGATGTAGAGCAACACAAATCACATGCATGTGTTTGTCTTCATGGTCTCTGTGCTGGTTTGGCCAGACGCGAGACTTTATGAAAGAAAAAAAAACGATGTCCAGAATCACTGTAAAACCTGCTGCTCCTCCTGCTGATGTTTAGACACAAGTGCTGTGTGTGTGTAGATGTGATCTAAAGCCAAGGATCGCTAGAAAAATCATGTTTTACATGAGATTTCAATGGGAGACGCGTCGGTGCGCGCACAAAATTAGAAATCCATCCTAAATTAGAGCGCAGCCTCGCGTCATACGTCCGTCATACGCGCGTATAACGCTAGAAGTGTAAATATCATCATAGGTTAACATGGAAAAAAGTTACGCGCGTCTGCTGCGCGTATAACGCGTACGTGCTGTAACGCGTGATATGTAAATTAGCAGTAAGAGAGCACCCAGCCACTCTGCGTAGGAAGCTCATTTCGACTGATTGTATCCGTGATCTTGTCCATTCGGTCATTACCCAAAGCTCATGACTATATGTTAGGGAGGGAATGAAGATTGACCGGTAAATCGTGAGCTTTCCCTTCCCCATGGCCTCAGATTTGGCGGTGCTGATTCTCATCCCAGCCACTTCACACTCGGCTGCAAACCGTCCCAGTGCATGCTGCTGGTCCTGGTTCGTTGGAGCCAACAGGACAGAGTAGTCCGCAAACAGCAGATGGAATCCTGTGGTCTCCGAACCGGACCCCCTCCGCGCCTAGAAATTCTGTCCATAAAGACAGTGAACAGCACCGGTGACGAAGGGCAGCCCTGGCGGAGGCCAACATGCACCGGGAACAGGTCTGACTTACTGCCGGCAATGCGAACGCAGCTCTGGCTCCGGTCATACAGGGACCGGATGGCCCTCAGCACAGGGTCCCGGACCCCGTACTCCTGGAGAACCCCCCAAAGGACACCCCGGGGAACAAGGGGCAAACTCCCAAGTAAATGTGCACGTTATTAACATCCTGATGCCACTCAGGCTTACGTCAGGCGCAGTGGTCGCCATAGTACAGCGCCCAGGGACCCATCTCCAGATTTTAAAATTCGGCTATTGAGCATATTTTTAGTGGTGGGGGAAACCGGAGGACTCTTCGTGTGGTATTTTGTCCGGTGTGATGGCAAAGTTTAGTCCTCGTTTGAATATGTTTCGTTCCTTGTCCGTAAGTGTTTGTTTTGATCCCTGTGTGCGCAGTCTTTTGTTTGTGAGTTTTTATAGCTTGCCGATTTGTCGCTTCTTGGTTGTTTCAAATTCTTTTATGTGTGTTGTAAATGTCTGTCCATCCATAGATTTTCTTCCTCTTGTAGGGGGTATTTTTCTTCAAAATGACGTGTTTGTTCCCGTAGCTCCATGGCTAGCGCTTCTCTTTTGTTGTTTATTATCCGTATCCGTTCTTGTAGTAAGTCCGGTTTTGCTTTGTTGATTATCCTGTCTGCGTTCCTCGTGTGTATGTGACTTTATGGAGTCACAATTTTTGTCCCTGCATCTCAGACTGAATCTCAGGTGGTTGTTCTGGCGGGCTTGGGCTTTCTTAATCTTCTCCAGATGACGGAATGCTTTGAGACACCGTGTTCCAAATCTTCTGCGTATTAAATGTAGAAAGTTAATTTTGTTTTCTTATGTTTAAGGCTTTAAAGGTTCTTTTAATGAAAAGCCAAAAAAATTACCTGACATGTTTCGGCGGTACACACTGCCTTCATCAGAGGTGACACGTGATGGTGTGACCCGTCTCTTATCAGCTGTTGTTGCCGGATGCGGTCAGTCTGACAGATCTCACAGATCCATCAGACTGACCACGTCCCCAGAACACCCCATTTCACACAAACTATCCGTTGTCAGAACACTATTTGAACGCCTCAATAACATCACAGAGAAAGAAGACAGGATAAAAGAAGAAGGACACATAATCCAAGCACTCAAATTTTGTCAATATGGGGGGGGTCCCAGATGGGCAATACAGAAAGGAAGACAACAAACTACTCAACAAACACATCACACTAAAACAGAGAAGAAAGCAACCACACAAACACAACGAACACAAAGATATACGTAGTCACCATACCATACATACGAGGGGTCACAGAGCAGATACAGAGAGCACTAGGGAAACAACATCAATGCAATAATCAAACCTCATAAGAAGCTTAGACAAATCCTCGTTCACCCAAAAGACAGGATACAACCAGAAAAAAGTGCAATGTCATATATGAAATACCATGTAGAATCTGCAATAAAACATACATCGGAGAAACGGGAAGAGCTTTCAGCACCAGAAGAAAAGAACATCAAAAGGAAAGCGAAAAAGAAACAGCAGCGCGACTATCAAGATCAACCAAGGAAAAGGCAACACAGGAATATCAGACCACTGCAAAAGAGAGAATCACATCATGGACTGGAAATCTCTGAGATCTGTCAGACTGACCGCATCTGGCAACAACAGCTGATAAGAGACGCGGCACACCATCACGTGTCACCTCTGATGAAGGCAGAAGTGTACCGCCGAAACATGTCAGGTAATTACTAGCTTTTTTTTGCTTTATTGTCTTATTAAAAGAACGTTTAAAGCCTTAAGCATAAGAAGACAAAATGAAATGTACACATTTATTTCCTTCTTTGGGTTGGGCGGGCCGGATTAAGTTTTAATCTGGGGAGGGTTGTAAAAAACAAAAAAGATGACCCGTGCATCACTAATGTACACACTCACAGATTGTATGTGCAAACAGGAGCACATTTACAAAGTCTGATTTGCACTAAACTTAACTGTTGTTCAACTCCTGGGACTAGGTCACCTGAAAGTGTGAAAAATTACATTGGCCCATCAGCGCCCCCTACAGACTAATTTAGACTTTTTTTTTTTACATGGGGATCTTTTTCTGCTGTTTGATCTCATATTTGACCCACTGAACAAGTTTTGTTCTGGCAAAAAATATATATTATTTTAGTGTTCTTTGGGTTAGGGTTAGACTACAAAATTGGATTTGTAGGGGGATTTGCACAAAATGTGTGCATTTTTGGGTTTGGGTAAACTAAAAGTGTAAAACATGATATTGCAGCATTAGCGCGCCCAACAGGCCGAGTCAAGTTTTACATGGACAGAAAATGTTTGAAATTTTGCACATAATTCTGTTTGCTGATTCTATAAGTCAATCAGACCCATGGCTTATTTTTTATTTTGTTGCAGTGGCGGCGACAAACACCCTATTATGTGTCAATGGGAAAATCAAAAAGACACACAATCACTGATCATAGGCATTCAAAAAACACAGTGTCGCTCCCATCAGGTCTGTAGGAAGATGGCGCATTGAACGTGCGAGGGCTGTTCAACATTTACTTATGTTCTGCTCTATAGACCTGGCCCAGACTTGCTCTATAGATCTGGCCCAGTCCTGTTCTGGTCCTGACCTGGTATTCTTCGTTTTCGCACAGCAGCTCGTACTGGAGACATTCTTTGGACTCTGAGCACAGACTGCTGTTGGAGCTAGGCCTGGAAGGAAAGAAATCAAAACTCACATTACTTTGAGTTATAACCATGTTATATGCTGAAATCAGAAACGTTTGACAATTATATAAAAATATCTATATACTTGACTATCTTATGTATCTAATGTATCTGAATTTACCCCTGGTGGTGCCTATATTGTAATTCTGGCCTGTCTAAACAGCTCCATGACATGAGCTGTTGGAGGATTTGTCAAAGTATGAGAACAGTATTTAGTAGGGATGAGGAGGACACTTTTGTCAGAAATTCCTGATATAGAGGCACAGAGAAGTAAATACATTTTACATCCCAGAAGAGGACAGGTAGGACAACCAGGAGTCAGAGAGGGAACAGAGGACAGAAGATGGAGAGACTTTATGCTATATGAGGATGATAAAGCAGTCTCACCCCACACTGGCTCCTGCTGTCACCACCAGCGCCAAGGACAACACCCACATCACAGCCCTGCAGGGGACAGGAGAGGGCAGGAGACGGGAGAGGGCAGAGGACAGGCCCAGACAAGGATAATACATATCTTATTAAGTAAGCTTAGGGAAGCACTGGGACTGCTAATATATCTATCAAAGTCCCTTTTTCCAAAAGGTCCTGTATCAGTTTATGGAGATATTTTGACACATGCGATTTGATATTAATGTTAGTATTAATACTAATAATGACAGTGACTTCTGCTTTCAACAGCACTTTCCATTGAAAGGCTTATATTCGCAGAAAAAGACAGGACGCGTGTGGCGCAGGCTGCGGATGTAACAGGACACTGGCTGCATTCAAGTTCATAACACTTATTCCTTGCTCTTTTAAGCTGCGCTCCAGATGTGACTAGGAAAAACGAATTATTGTTGAATTCCGAACGCTTTCAACTTTAGTCAAGTTTAAAGCAATCACGTGAAAGGAGAAGAGGAGCCGGATAAAGGGTGTAGCTAGCGTGTGCCAGAAGTGCATGTCGCATCACAACACCGGACTGCGTATGCGGGACATGTGCCCTGCTTGCGGCGCTCCAATTCCAGCTGCGAGAGCATGCATCCACCACCCCGTTACCCACCGCCGATAACTTGTTTGATGACGCACCACTTACTCCAGTGACAGGATAAAGCAGAGGTTCTCATCACGCTGATAAATAACCTGAAACAGATTACTCACATGTCCGAGTGTCCTGAATGATGAGGCATATATGAGCCGGCGGTGTGCGAGGCAGGACTACTGCAGAGGGATGCTGCAGTGAAGCGCAGTGGGCGGGGTCGGGCTGGAAGAAGGGAGGGGCTTGCAGATATACCCTGAATATTACTTAGGCACTTTTAAAGTTGATTGTCATTTAAGTTGTCCTGATTCGAATCCACCAATCATAGATTGACATTAGATCCAATCCCCTGCAGAAAAGTCCATTATAGGATTGTAACAGTTTCCCCACACTTCCATACAATAATTTAAATACACACTGTAAACCCTGACAAGTAAAGTTTACTTGAAAAAACCTTGGAAATAAATTGCACATTAACTTCACTTGAATTCCTCGAGTACATCCTTAACTTGATGTTGCCAAGTGAACTCAATTGAATGCAGTAAAGTTAGGCTATGATTTCAGATTGTACATATATCTGCTCCAACTGGGATTTTTGCAATGGTGCAACCCACTCAGCCAACATGCCACACTGTTTTTCACACACTTGCCATACTCATCACTCTATGTTCAAAATATCGAAAGTGCAGCTTACTTGAACAGAGACAGCTCAATTCAAAGAAGGCCCTGAGTGGTATAGCCAAGCTTTTGTTAGGACTCAGCCGAATTCTGGGATCGTGTCTTTAATTCAGACAGAAGACATGTTTTATTGTCAATGGAGACAGCACGAACACACGAACAAGGATTAAAGACAGCAAGTGGTAATATACTCACGCAAGTGGTAAACAGGGGCCTCCAATCAGCAGCTGCCACGGTGTGCTTGTAGCTTGGCCTTCAGAAATCAAATGGAAAAGTAGAGGCTTCTGTACATTGATAGAATGATGAGTTTAACTTTAACAAAAGTTGCTTCAAAGTGTTATGAAATCACTATACTTTAAATAAACTAACAATAAACAAGTAATATTTACTTACTGGGAAAAATCAATTTAAAACAACTTTGTTGTCTGAAGTAAGATTGAAGTTAGGGTTTAGAGTAGTAATGAACGATACATTAAAAAGGTGCTTTTTCCTAATTTTTCCCAGTCCGTCCTAAACACATGTGATAATAATTTGGCTGATACACCATACAACACTAAAATCTTAGATATTATAGCCATTTCTTGCATAGAGCTGGTTACCTCTATTGAAACACTTGGATCTGTGCACCTTCCTCTGTGAGCTTGCCGCCTATGTAGCTGTTATCGGTGCATAATAATTTCAGACCTAAGAATAAACCTTTTCAAACAATGACAATTCATCACACAGAGCCCAGAGCCCCTCCAGACCGTAATTATTTAGCTTAAAGAAGTATACGGCAAGCTAGCTGCATAATCCGTGTATCATCTGTTGTCTTGATTATCTAGATAAAACCAACATTTGTACCCTTCGATCATTAGTTATTCCGTTTCGGGATGTTTTTGATTCTTGATCTTTGAATTTAATGCAAGATTGAAATATTGATTTGTTTTTTTGTTATCTGTGAATCCAATTAAATCGATAATCCAGTAAACCAACTCAAGAGTCCCCCGGAAGTTATTGGCCAGTGCGCGTTTTTTACGAGAACGGAAAGTGTTATATTAAGTGTATGTCTTATAAGCAATGAAAATAAACAAAATTGTCATTTTTGTATATTTTGCTGTGCACGAACCGGTCCGTGCACTTTTGCGTTCAATACATTTTCTAATTTTGAAGGGAAATGGAAAATTGAAATGTTATTTTTTTACTTTCAGGCACACGGAAATATACAAAAATGACCTTTTTTTTTTTTTTCATTTCTTATAAGACATGTATATTGTAATAACCAGATTTGGGAACTATAAAACGCAATAATTAACCTTTTTTATTGTGTATTTAATACATTTCGGCATCAATCAATCACCCGGAAGAAGAACGAGTTTGTTTACTCACGTGCGTGAGACCCACACACGTGTATTTGGCGCAACGCATCATGGGGCCCAAATACAGGCGGGTTTCCCATAGATCTTAACGAGTTCCAGGCGGCTTCTGGTAATCTTTTCGGCACCCATGCCGGCACACCCAGGACCTCAAGTGGGAGCCGACCATCAGCTCCCTCATCAAGAAGGCCCAGCAGAGGATGTACTTCCTGCGGCAGCTCAGGAAAGCCAAGCTGCCTGCACAGATGTTGGTGCAGTTCTACACGGCCATCATCGAGTCCATCCTCACCTCCTCCATCACCGTGTGGTTCGCTGGAGCCACAGTCAGGGACAAACAGAGACTACAGCGCATTGTGCGTTCTTCAGAGTACTATTCAAACCACTCCCCTCAGGCAGGAGACTGCGGTCCATCAGGACTAGAACCTCCCGCCACAAGAACAGTTTCTTCCCCTCTGCTGTTGGACTCTTGAACACTTCTTAACCTGCCCCCCCGCCCTTTATAAAGTCACTTTACTGTCCATCATACGTCACTTTACTTCACTGTACTGCTGTCACCCTACATTGTGTGCACCATGTGCACTTGTATATTGTAAATAGTAACTGTAACTCTATTTTAAATTTTAATTTATTCCTTAAAAGGGTTTTTTACTCTTTATTTTGTATTATCTCTTTCTGACTGTTGCACTGAGCCAAAGCAATTTCCAAGTCTGTGACTTCCTGTTACTTACGTGGCAATAAAAATTATTCTGATTCTGATTCTGACAAAGCGCCACTGAGCACAACCATTCATTTGAATACGGCGCCATCTTGGATCGCCAGGGCTTGACTGTAGAGCAGTAAATCACATGTATGTGTTTGTCTTCATGGTCCCTGTGGCTGCTGTGGTCAGACCATTGACTGTATATATTCAGACGCCAGTCTTTATGAACTGCGTGAAGTGGAGAGACCTGCGCACGTGCCGTTGCTATGTGAGATGTAAGAGATAATATTAACGGCTTATTAACCGAATGCGAGGTCTGTATGGAGAAATATCAGGTCTGTGCAAAAAGGCCAAGGTCTGATATTTTTCTGTACAGACCGAGCAAGCAAGGTTAATAAATGTTTTATTATATGACTCTCGTCTGTGTCTTAACAATGCTTTTGAGATATTTGTGAAGTATGTTCATGTCCGACTTGGTTTTGTGTGATACGCGCTGCGGACAGATTGTCATGGTAACGGTCCGAGGAAAGATATCAAATGTGATACGCGCTGTTCGGACCAATTGTCAAAGTAACGGTCCGAAATGGGAAAATATCAGACCGGTAATCAGCCAATCAGACCGCGCGTACGGTCCAAGTCAAACTAGAAACTTGCAATGGCTGAAGCCATTGCGATTGACTGCGGAACAGATCTAATGTGGAAATCTGCTAAAAAAAATCCTTGAAATCCTTTAAAAGGCCTTGAAACTGTTAAAATACTTGATAGATATTTGAAACTCCTGAAGTCCTTGAAATTGTTGAAACCTTTAAACTCCTGAAATCCTTGAAACTGTTGAAACATTGAAACTCCTGAAATCCTTGAAACTTTTTTTAAACCTGGAAACTGTTGAAAGTGTGGAAACTCCTGAAATCCTTGAACCTCCTGATATCCTTGAAACTGGTTAAATTCTTAAACAGTTGAAATCCTTGAAACTACTGAATGTATTGAAAGTGTCCTTGAAACTGAAAAATCCCCTCACCGCTGAAACAATTTGGTTCCTGTAACTAAGGAAACCTGGTCTGTGGTCATTATCTGGTGGTGGTCTGAGTCTTCGTTTGGGTCTTGGTCTGGTGTACGTATAATGCAACCTATTAGGTTGCATTATACATGGAAAAATCCCTATTAAGTTGCATTATACTGGTTTACATGAAAAAAACCCTATTAGGTTGCATTATACTGGTTTACATGAAAAACCCTATTAAGTTGCATTATACTGGTTTACATGGAAAAATCCCTATTAAGTTGCATTATACTGGTTTACATGGAAAAATCCCTATTAGTTGCATTATACATTTACATGTACAAACCCTATTAAGTTGCTTTATACTGGTTTACATGTAAAACCCCTATTAGTTACATTATATGGTTTACATGTAAAAATCCTATTAAGTTGCATTATACTGGTTTACTGGTTTAATTCCTTACATGGAATTAAGTTCCTTATACTGGTTTAATGTAAAAACCCTATTAAGTTGCATTATACTGGTTTACATGGAAAAATCCCTATTAAGTTGCAAGGTTTACATGGAAAAATCCCCATTATTTGCACTATACTGTTTACATGGAAAAATCCCTATTAAGTTGCATTATACTGGTTTACATGGAAAAATCCCTATTAAGTTGCATTATACTGGTTTACATGTAAAATCCCTATTAAGTTGCATTATACTGGTTTACATGTAAAAAACCCCTATTAGGTTACATTATAGTGGTTTACATGGAAAAATCCTTATTAAGTTGCATTATACTGGTTTACATGTAAAAACCCCTATTAAGTTCCATTATACTGGTTTACATGTAAAAACCCCTATTAAGTTCCATTATACTGGTTTACATGTAAAAACCCTATTAAGTTGCATTATACTGGTTTACATGAAAAAAACCCTATTAAGTTGCATTATACTGGTTTACATGGAAAAATCCCATTAAGTTGCATAATACTGGTTTACATGAAAAAAATCCCCATTAAGTTGCATTATACTGGTTTACATGGAAAAAACCCTATTAAGTTGCATTATACTGGTTTACATGGAAAAATCCCTATTAAGTTGCATAATACTGGTTTACATGGAAAAATCCCCATTAAGTTGCATTATACTGGTTTACATGGAAAAATCCCCATTAAGTTGCATTATACTGGTTTACATGGAAAAATCCCTATTAAGTTGCATTGTACTGGTTTACATGGAAAAAACCCTATTAAGTTGCATTATACTGGTTTACATGGAAAAAACCCTATTAAGTTGCATTATACTGGTTTACATGTAAAAACCCCTATTAAGTTGCATTATACTGGTTTACATGGAAAAATCCCCATTAAGTTGCATTATACTGGTTTACATGAAAAAAAACCCTATTAAGTTGCATTATACTGGTTTA